GAGGAGGAGGGCCAACAGAGTGACTGCATCCTGACAACAACCGCTGATTACACCAATCAGAACAGCACAGTCTGGGTGAAGGCAAGAGTAAAACCAGACCATACACCTCCACACTGCAGTGCCAAGAAACAGCAGGCCTGACTCACTCAAAGCCTACTCAACTCCAACGAAGGGAAGGATCTCACAGAGGTAATGTCAGAGGAGCTGTGGCTGGAAGACATGCCCAACTCCAGCTGTGGCTAAAAAATTAATGAGCAGCTTTATGAGCTTCTTTATTAATCAAATATTCCAGACTCCATTTTAATCAGCAGATTCTGGAGATTACTGTCCTCCCCTGCTCACCGGAGGGACAGACCTCACACAGGCGTGCACAGGCTTGCACGGCGCAGCTTCGTCCTCCTCATCTCTCTACAAAGTCAACCCAGCCTTTCATTTCCCTAAAGTGAATCATCTTAATACAAAAAAAAGGGTCAAACTGGTCCAAAGGAGCGACATCCAATTAGTGTCAAGTGTGACTAATTATAATCTGACAAACGTGTGAAATGAAGTCAGAAACCCGAGACAGAAGCTAATTATAGCACATTGAAACACTTCATTAAGCACAGTTTATAGCAAGGAGACATTCCACATCAGAATGCTAAAGCGTCTCCGATATGAAACAGCAGCTTGACAGAAAAGACGCACGCGGAAGCTCGTTGTTGGGACACAAGAGGAGGAAATAGTCCAACGAGGTAATAATGGAAATGTACTTTCCAAAAATATCCCTGCTCTTATGAAAGAAAGATACAAAGATGTGTGATGAGGGAATTAAAAAGGAGCTACAAGGACATAATATTAATTTAAAATGAACATTAAGCACTTTATTAGAGCTTTACTGAGCTGTACATGTGCCAGAAAAGGGAGGATGTAAAACTCAAGCCAAGCACTGAATGTAAAGTGCATTAAAAAAACGTGTATTGTTTTTCTTTATGAAGCCACTATCCAGAGCATAATGCAATGAGTGTGCAGGTCGGAGGTTGTCTTGCTAAAGGTCTGTTGACAGGATCCATGGCGTCTGTATTTAGCCTATTCAATTATTAAAAGCTAACTCACATGCAGAAATATCTCCAGCAGAAAATGTCCAATGCAAATAGTAATAGACATTTTGAAGTGGACAATCGGGTATCAAAAAATTATTATGCATGCTTCCCTTACATGTAGTAACAATGTCACAACAACAATGGCAACAGTGTGGGTGACGTGTGGTCCACTACTCCTGCTTAGAGTCCACGGAGGTGCCAGGGTACCTCTATGGAGGAGCAGATGGTTCTCCTGCTTATGCCCAACACTTCCTCTCTGTCGGAGCATCTCTCTGACAGATGGGCCCAGGATCCTGGACCAGGCTAATCTCCAGCACTCCTCCACTTAAAGGCACAGTGGAGCTCTATACCTCCACAGTCCCGGAGAGCCGTGATGCTGATCGCACATCAATACAGGCTGAACGCTTGGTCACGTCAACAGGGCTGAATGTGCGTGTCAACAAATGCTAAAATATTACTTTGTAAAAATGACAAAAAGCAAGAGGATAATGTGTCTAATTTACAGTAATATGTTAGCCAATGGAATTGAGGAAACAGTAGAAGAACAAAGGGAAAATGGGAGAAAAAGGTGGAGCATTTCTGTGAAGTTGGGGGATAAATACGACCATAGCAAAGGCTATTTGGACATAGAGTGACTAGCTTTTTGTAACGGCCAACTCAAATTGCTGTCACTTTTGTCCATTTCGCCAGCAAGCATGCAAATACAAAATGCCTCCTCCCTTGCTTTACCGGGTCCTGACCACGTCTGCGCTCCGAGGAGCCAAAGTTGACATGTCGACAATTCACACAAAGTATAAACGACTTTCGGAATGTCAGGCGATGTTCCCCTGCTATGCCCAACCGAGCACGAAGAAAATCGGCTTTTAATTATTCGGTGCAGAGCAAAGACACGTTGTCGACAGTTTTTAAATAAATGTATTGCCCACGAAAGACGACATTCCCTTGTGTTCAATGCATAGCCGTACTGGGAAAAAGCTCCTCGAGAGCAGACAAAATGTCAGGCAGTCTAACGCACATGTTTGAGACTAAATGTTAAAACCTGGTGTAATAAAAGAACTATACGAGGCTACTTTGCAATGCAAGAAGTACACAGAAATGAATTTGGACAGCTAAATCCGTCATATGCACACGGCTGGAAAACACATGCACGAACAAACTCTTCGATTGTACAAGTTGGCAACAAAGTAATAAGTCACAATTTCGTAAATGTCTAAATTACTTACGCTTTTAGTGGATTCTGAATGACAGCCGCCATTTTGCTACAATGTAACGCAATATCGGCGTCTTGCAGTTCTGAGGGAAACCTAGGGGAATGAACCAATCAGAGCTCGGGGTAAAATCGTGGACCAATAAATCTGCAGCATACGCGGATTGGGCGTGGTTTTATGGGGTAAACTGTCAAAAATATTTTAAAGGGTTTTCCCTTGTATTTAATATTGTACACAAGTGAACAACAGCACTTTTAAAGGGAGAGCATGGATACATATTAAATGCAACTCCCTCATGGCATGCTGACACCATGCAGTGCAAGAGGCACAGAATATCAACATGGAAGCTTGTGTTTAATTATTTATTAAAATATTAATAAATCATGTATCATCATCAATAAGCACCAAGCAAATAATTTCCCTCACTTTATCTGAAGCTGCAACATTAGAGAGGAGTAGAAGCAAGGCTCCTAAATACAAAGGCGTGCACAGGATCTATTCCTCCCACATACAGTACAGTAAGTGGTTTGACACGGGGAGATTTAAACACACAAACACACACTAAAGACAAGGAGGCAATTCAAGATTATGTTTTTGACAGATGGGAGCTGCTACAACTTTAATCTTAAACAAATCCTCCATCAGTTTAGTATTCACACATATCATCGCATCAATTTGTTTCCAATGGTTTAAAAATGTATCAATCACTCCTGCTTCAGTTGTTGTCTCTATGCCAGAAGTGTTGATATCACCCGACTTAATCTAAAAAAAAAAAGAGACATCACAAATTGCAAAGGACATCTGAGGCAAAAGACTGCACAACTTTGCATGGGAATGAGCTCCAGAACAATACATCTGACAACAATGTATTTCTTATTCTATTATGTGCAATATTTGCATTTCAGAGGAGGGTGTGTGATGCAACATTCAGACAGATATATCTATTTTCAGACAAGGCAGACACATTTTCTCATCAGAACCAAAAAGTTCCACGTTGGAGCAAAGGAAGAATTCACTTTATCTACAAAGCTTACAATCGACAAGGACCCTTTTTTTTCTCATTTTTAACAACAAAATACAAGCAAATGTTTTAAAGGCATCACCTTGTGCTTTGAATGACATCCAAATGTAAAGCTCTCAGTCACTAAATATCGCACCATTTCCACATTCAAGCATACATTTCTCTGTGTAATGCTTGAAAACAATAAAATAAAGACAAAAACAATATAGGGAGAAAAAGTGGTTCGCATACAGTTGCTACAAAGTTTATAAATACCCATACAGTATCTAATGTCAAACGGAAAAATAACATACAAAATATCAATAACAGATGTATAATGACAGAAAAACCAGCTTTGTAGAGCTAAAACTGAAATAAAATGTGTTGTCAGGAGTCTTTCTCCTGTCAGTCTGGGCCTACAGGGACGTGGAGGCGCAAGTGTAAAACTGTTGTGAAGACCAATTTAGATAGTTTTAAGTCCTGAAAAAAAATATCCGTACACCAAAGCAAACCCCAACTGTAAATATTATTAAAACATTTTTTTAAATCAATGTGTCAAGAGAACACATTTGAACATGATATACATACATTTCACAACATATTATGGATACACTAAATGGCCAATGGGGAAAAGACATAGTGAGCTGGATTCAGAGACCATCCTCTGAACAAGTAGAAAGGCCATGGATCTCTCAGGCTGTCATGCATGTTGTTGAGTGTTAATACGTAGTTGTTTTTTTATGTTCAATACATAAATAATTTTCAAAGCTTAAAATGTACACCGCTCTAACATAGTTATATGTTTTCATACAACCACAAATTACATGATAAAATATAAACATGATACCAGCACAGACACAGTGACCTGAATGATTTTTGGCACACCAGATATCCACAATCTAGACCCACTGTGGGTGATTTCAGCCCAGTTAGGGTACTACAAGATAATCTGGATATCTGGATTTTGGCCATGGTAAGCAACAGCCTATAACAGCTGAAAAAGGCTTAGTGCAAAAACTAAAATGTTGCAATACAGCATGCAATGGAACCTGCAGTTATACCTGCACGGATATCAAATATCTCCTTACCATTACACGTGCGACATCAGAGAAACATTGCTCAATAATAAGAATTGCTGGGAACTAAAATCACACCAACCCCACAGGGTTCTCAACTAACTAATATCCTTTAAATGATATATTTTTTTGTAACATTTTCTGATAGTAGAAAAATAGCTCAACAGCCTTGTGTAACATAAAGTTAGGGACTTGTGTCAATAAGAATCCAAATATTCACTCTGTGAATAAATCAGAGTGGAAATGCAGATTTTGCACTCAGTCAAGTAACTCACATGTTCTGGCTGTTCTACAAAGGCCACAGGAACTCTTGATGCTAAGTGTCCTATATAGTTTTATATATATATGCCTAAAAACTTCCTTTCAACAGACGTAAGACAGAACCATTTGATTAACGGAGGTACAGCAGTGACAGACTGCTAGCTGAGTGAGTGAGTGGTTCTCTCCGGCTGTCTGAGGAAGGAAGGCCGTCCCTGTTAAAGTTCTCCAGGTTTCTGGTTGCAGTTGGCACACACGCGCACAGGGTGGTCCCAGCCGCGCGATGGGACCGCCCGGCGCTCGGGGGAGCAGTCGTCACACACTCCTTGGCCACAGGCGCGGCAGTGGTGCTTGGACAGCTTGGCAGTGAAGTCGCGCTGGCAGTTGTGGCAGGACAGGATGTCCTGGTCAGGCACCCAGTAGGCAGGACGGGCCGCATCTTTCACTAGGCCTGGAGGGTCACAAGTAACATAAATACACACACAGTACAGTACACCAGCACGGATCAGGTATAGTATAAGGTAACACTTTTACATTTGCAAAACATATGGTTGTAACTTTATAATTCTGAGATTTAACTGCTCGACCTTTTGGGAAATATGCCTATTGGCTTTCTTGCTGAGAAGATCTACACACTGTTAATCTGTTGAGTTTAAGGAGAACTGCACACAAACTAGTCAACGTAATTAAGCAACAGTGAATGTTATCGACATGTCCTGCCAAAAGTGAGGCTGCTGCAAGGAATTATGGGAAGGCCAGTGTCTTTAGCATATAATACATTCAACCAGCTTTTATCATGCCAGTGACTAAGATGCTCCCAGGTCATTTCACTAAGTTAGAAACCTTCCTAACCTTCATAACCAAAAATGACCATTCAACCACAGCCCTGCACTATATCTATTGGTGAAGAACAGATATGGACAAACTGATGGAAAACACTGCGACACTGTGGAGGATATCAAGTTATCATTGCAGAAAGGAAACTGATATTGCCTATTAGTTATATATTGTTTGTTTTATCTGTAAAAACACTGAAGTTTAAAAGTGGCAAGGTTACATTTTTGGAGGGGGGGTTATTTCCAGGGTATTTTCATGGCAGGTAGCAATAACTTTCTTGAACTTCCACTGGTTGCCTGGCAACTGCTTCTGGCCAAGAAATAATCCAGCTCATAACCTCCACATAAAATGTGAATTTGTCTCAAAGAGGTCAGGCTATTCCTTTAAGTTAGAGGCCTTTTTCTAATTTAAATACGGTTGACTGCATTTCTTTAGCTCTTTTTCCATGCTTATTTTTCCTCACTACTGTATGAAGTGCACCACAATTTCAAGTCCTTGGCTGTCTTAGGTGGCAGTATCCATGGAAACATGTAAAAAAGTATTTTGTTGAGGTTGGAGAAGATCTTGCTTTAAGGTTTTTTGGGGTGAAGAAGTTTTCAGCAGGATATCAGGTTAGCACATTTATATTCATATATGCTTTTTACATACTAAGAGAGGTCTACAGTGGGCAGCTTAATAACAATAATAAAATACAACTTGTGTTTTAAATTAAACAAATAGTTTTTCCAAATATGTTTAAGACATGCACAAAACAACAATCTAGCAGGGGGAAAAAGGGCTATGATTTATGGTGTGTGTTTCAGTTAGAACCGTATTTATTCTAGCCAACTCTTTGCAATCTCTTCCCATGTATCAAAGCCAGTTTTCCAAATCCAAAACACATTGGATTATATTGACAGAAACGTGTCATGTGAGGTCATAACAACGTCCCGGAGTTACCGAACCAAAGTGCATTCCACACATTGGTGTCGATGAGAAATCTGTATGCATGCCAGGTCAAGAAACCTCATTACACTTATATAATGAACCTAAAAATGTAATGAATTAGCAGGTTAACTGGTTATTTCTCTCACCTTTGCACTAATGATTAAGACTTATCATTAAACATTAGGTAACAGAACATGGAAGCACTGCACTGACATGTCCTGAGGAGATTGTCAGAGGCAGTTTTAGGTTTAGTCGTGAGCATGTGTGGGTGGAAGTAGTCCATGATTTTTTTGTGTTCATTGGAAAGAATAACAAGTTAGAGACGAATGTCAGTATTTGCATTCCTGCTTAAATTACAGTCACTCAGCCTAATAACTCCAGTTGAAGAAACAGAACACACTAAGCAGGCCGGGAATCATTCGCCTGAGTTTGGACTGTGAGATGTTGGTAACAGCACAGGCTCTACTACACCCAAGCCATAACAGCATCTATTATTCCTTATTAGGAGTCAAACTCCTGCATATCATCTGTGAGAGTTCAAACTAGAAACAAGACCTCGCTGCTTGTCTTTCTTAGTGTAAATAAACACTTTACGCCTCTGCCACCAGAGGGCATTGTGTCCATTCACTCACATCTACTGGGTCATTTTTTCCTGTTACCTAACACTCCTGTTCAGATGTTGTTTTGGACAACACTCACCAAGTGGGATGTCAATAGCAGTGACCACGACCCCAAAGGTGTTGGAGACCGCTTCTCCAACCTTCCTGGCCAGAGTTCCACCTTCTTCCTCCTCCTGCTCTTTCTCAAGCATCTCTGGATAAAGAAAATATATTTCACCCAAATGCCACACAAAAGAGGAAAAACTAAAAACATTTGACATTATCGAGAGTGTGTGTGTACCTGCGTATGAAGCCCTCTGCTCAAAGCAAACGTCACAGACTCTGACGGGGGCGAGACCCCAGCCTCTCTCAGGGACGGGGGCAGCTTTGGCGGAGCAGCCGTCACAGAAGCCCTCCCCACAGGCACGGCAGTGATGCTTGGTGTCGTTGTCGTGGAAGACTATTTGACACTTATGGCACACCTCGTATTGGGAAAAAATACAAAAACAACAGAAGCTGTTATTGACCAACGGCTCGTGGAAAGACGACACAATCTTTTTTTATCTCAGTGTTATCTTATGACCAGCATAAACATATATTGTGTAATAGTCACAGAGCGCCACAGACAGTAAACACAGCTCTGGAGAGGAAAGTGTTGACTTGGCTGTTGGTGGCGGCCGGCAGAGGGTGGGGCTGTGTGTGTCACTCACCAAGATGAGGGAGTTGGGTTTCCAGTAGGCTGGGGCGATCTGATCCGTCAGCCAGGAGGTGACGGCCTTGGCAGGCTTCACACTGAGCTCTGACACAGACTGGGCCACTAGGTTGACTCCATCCAGAAGACGCTGTGCTGCATTGCTGTTGTCCTTTAAAAAGCCATCCGACTGCAAAAAGCAGACAATGTTTTTAAGTAGATATAAGCTCCCCTCTACCCAAATCTCTAGGTCTCTAGAATGACAGATAATTAAGAAAATATAATCAGATGAATTAATAAAAGAGCTTGTTTCTCTTACCCCCGGCCATACATGCTGGATCTCAGTGCGCACCACCGTATCCACAGGGTCCTGGTTCCCATACCAGAACTGACGGCTCCGATAGATCACTCCACAGTTGGGACATTCAATAACGTACCTAAACATAGAGTAGAAACATGAATGTACAAATCTTTGTGACAATATTAATAGAAAATGTCTGAGGGATTACTTGGACCATGTAAAATAATGTGAAAGGTAAATCTGCAATTGTTCATAATTTAATACATTTGCTGATTGACTAACTGTTAAGGTAATTTCTCATGCCAACATTGAAATGTCCTGCTTTTCTCCATTTGAAATCATAATAAACTGCCTATCTTTAAGATTTGGACAAACAAAACAAGCCATTTAAAGACATCACCTTGGACTTCGGGGAACTAGGATCAATATCTCGCTATCTTTGGACATTTAATAGAACAAACAACTTGTCAATTAATCTAGAAATTAATAAGTAGATTCATCGAAAATGAAAATAATTATTAGCTGCAGTCCTAGACAATACCAAAATGAGATATTAGGTGAGAGTATGAGACACCAGTAAACAGTAATAAGACCTCACCCTGGCCTGTGACACATGACCCTGCTGTTCATTCAGCTAATACTCACCCAGACCAGGCGTATTTGGCGAGGCCCAACCATGGAGAGTCTGAGGAAGCGGAGGTTTTAGGTATAACAATCACTTCCTTTCCTCCTTCATAGCAAGCCTAAAGAGATGCACCACAAAATGTATTTATACTCATCAGTCATGGAACAAGAGAAACACTGTCATTTGTATAGAGAGAAGGATTAATACTAAGTGATGAGCGACTGTGCGTACCTTGCAGGTGTAAATGCGATTATCATACTGAAGAGTATAACGACAGCGATGCTTCGCCTCATGGCACACTCCTTCTCCCAAGTGGTTCATGCTGTTCTTGCAGCCAGATCTGGGATAAAAATGAAATGTCAAAAATGTTTAAAAATCTGGAAACCAAGCGATTGAAGGTAAGATTATAAATGTGTTTCTTGTTAAGAGACGAAGGTACTGACCCACAGCTGAGGCACAGGGTGGAGCAGGTGAAGTACTCATCGGGAAAGAAGCAGCTGTGGGCTACAAGCTCACCTGTAATTTCCCCATTAAAGCGCTCACTTAATGCCTGCGGGAAAATCAAGGACAACGGATCTTAGCTCGACCAGACATGTTCAGTATTTTACAAACAGAACCTGAGACTTATGAGCTTTAGCTGCTCTGATTCAAAACTATTTTTTATCTGATTCAGGAACCAGTTTATCAGTAAATGTTGTTTATATTCTGTTCAGTGCTGGCTTCACAACACCAACCAGCCAGTCTGAAGCAGGCAGGAAGCTGAATGCTATCCAAACGGTATACAGCCCTACCTGCAGGGCTTTGAAGATCACCACGGGGGTGCGTGGGGAGCGGGTGGCGTTGTTATCAAGGAGCTGCTCCAATTTATTCTGCAGGCCACGGAAATCAGTCGGGGGGGTGAGAGTCTGCGTGCCCCAGTACTGCACAGAGCTGAAGGCCTCTGGGAAACGGGAAAGCTTCTTGAAGCGCTCAGACAGCAGACGATCTACTGACTCCAATGACTTGTCTAAAAACAAGACACAGAGTGTAATCAGAATGATGTGTTGCATCAGATATAACAACAACTCATCATCTCTTGATCTCAAAATGATGCATTTCTCTGTCCTTATTCTGGTAAAAGAGAGAATAATACTGTTAAAACATTGTTAATATATCTAATAACAAACATGAAGCTCACACAAAAACATTAAATGTGTTGTCCCAAGTCTGTAAGGCTTATCAGTGTTCCTTCATGTTAAATAAATATTTACTACAAAACACGTGCACTTGAAACTCCATAGCCAAGAAATGTTAATCGTGTTTTTTGTCCTTCATAAACAGTGACTAGATTTATGGAATTTCACACATTAGAAGTAGGTTTTCAGGAATGTATGAGTTGTAGCAGCTGGACTTTAGTATTAAAAAAAACCCTGACATTTTCTTTGAAGTGACTACTACTGTCACTTTTGACCTAACTTGACAGAGTGCAGTTTTCTTTTGATTCTAAAAAGTATGCTTTCCACATTGGAAGACAAGTTGGAGTGCAGATTGATACCTCCAGTGGTGTTGGCTGTAGGCAAACATTTGCTTACCTATAATTATCTGCTCTTAGTTTACTTTGAAAGGCACACCCTCTCGTCCCTTACTGTGATGCAGACCTACATTCTTTGTGATAGAGTCACTATGTATTGTTTAATGGACGTTCTTTAGTAAAGTTATGCTTTAGGGCTGAGTTGTCTAATACATTTGGAACTCCATCCATTACTACACTGAACAAAAATATAAACGCAACACTTTTGTTTTTGCTCCCATTTTTCATGAGATGAACTCAAAGATCTAAAAAAAATTCTACATACACAAAATAACCATTTCTCTCAAATATTGTTCACAAATCTGAAAAAATACTGTGATAGTGAGCACTTCTCCTTTGCCGAGATAATCCATCCCACCTCACAGGTGTGGCATATCAAGATGCGGATTAGACAGCATGATTATTGCACAGGTGTGCCTTAGGCTGGCCACAATAAAAGGCCACTCTGAAACATGCATTTTTGCTTTATTGGGGAGGTCTGGGGGGGTCCGAAAACCAGTCAGTATCTGGTGTGAGGGTTAGGATTAGGGTTAGGGTTAGGGTAATGTTGTGAATCGAGTGGCCCATGGTGGTGGTGGGGTTATGGTATGAGCAGGCTTATGTTA